CTCCTAGATACTCCACTGCTTTAACAACATTTGTCTAGCCTTACAAAAAGATGACATGAATAATAACTGCCTGAATTATTTTTGGAGAAAATTCCATAGTGAATTTATATATTGTGGAAAGAATGATGTAGGACAATGCCGCCATGCACCGGGCTGGATTTATATGTAAAGTGTGTGATTTACGTAAGTAATGTGTAGTGACGAGAAATGTGAGAAATTTGCATATATTGGGAAGTTAATAAGGCTGTCATTTATTTGTAAACAAATTTCAGAAGACATTGAACAATTCTTCTCTGTTCAACACGATTAGACAGTTTGTATATGAAATGTAACCAGCTGTTGTGTGAGAAACTAAAGGCAGTTTAAAAATAACAAGTGCAGTTTTGCTGCTGAATGGAGTCACTTTTGTCGACGTATGGTTTAGCGCGAGTACAGGGAATATTGGGACAGACATAAGAGATTAATTTCCAGGCTAATCTAATATAATTTTGGCTTTCAAGTTTCAAAAAAAAGATGGAAGGGTGACTAGCCAATAGACGGTTCGCCACTTAATTATAACTGCCATTTATACAGGAGTGCCCTTTTTCTTTCTGGACCACGCCCTCCTGCATATATCTGGACTTACCCCAGTACTCATAGCCTCTCAAAAGGATATATATATTGATTGGCTCCTTCGATCAATGATAATCATGGTGTGCACGCCTCCGTTTTCTTCTTTCTCTCTTGACTGCTTCTTTTGTAATCCACGCATCTTCGGAGTGTTTTGCTCCATCCCGGATTCTTGATCTCCACGTCGTTCGGCCCAATGTTGAATTCCTTCAAGTCGCTCTTAATCTGGTCCAAAAAGCTAAGTCTTGGTCTTCCAACTTTCCTACTTCCATTCTTGACCTCAGAATAAAGAACCTTTTTTGGGATACGATCCGCGCCCATTCTTTCTACGTGTCCCAGCAATCTTAGTGTTTTTGAACCAATGATTTTCTTCATATCAACTGATCAGCTTTTGGAAGCACTTCAACATTGGTTACCATATCTTGCCATTTGATACCAAGAATCAAATTAACAAAAAGTAAAGCTTTTTGTTAATTGTTGATCCCAGGTAGCAGAAACTATGGGTCAAACTCGCTAGTCATAAGGTTTGCTATTCATGAGGCTCATTATTCATAAGGTTCGTTATTCATAACATTAGCTTACCCTATACCATAGAGTCACTATTCATAATGAAGAAAATGGTTCGCTATTCATAAAAAATAAGGACCGTTATTCATAAGGTTTGCTAGTCATAATCAAGAAAAGGGTCACTAGTTTTAATTTAATAAAAGGACCACAAGGAATAAGGTTCGCTAGTCATAATCAAGAAAAAGGGTCCGCTACTCATAATATAAATAAAGGGCCATTATTTGTAAGGTTTGCTAGTCATAATATAAGAAGAGGTTCGCTATTCATAATTTAAAAAAAAGGTTCGCTATTCATAATAATAAAAAAAAAAAGGTTCGCTATTTATAATTAGAAAAAGAGGTTCGCTATTCATAATAAAAAAATTAAAAGGTTCGCTATTTATAATTTTAAAAAAGAGGTTCTAATTTAATTCCCAACAAAGCCTCACTGGCCCAGTTGGTTAGGGCGTCTGCATAGACAGCTAGGTTACGCCCCTTTTTTCCCCAGTTTTTAAATAGGCCTATTAAAAAATCTGTATCTCGTTGACCGTTCCCCAGTTTTTCGTCAAATAACTTTTTTTGCTGTCTTACAAACATCAGTTCTACAACATATCAAAAATTGTTTTTCCTCCGGAGTCTGACTTTGAAGCCAAATATATTTGAGCAAAACGCAAGTAGAATAGCCTATAGCCTATGACACCCTAGGTCGTTTGACCTTTGCTTTGACCAAGTTAATTATGAGGGTAGGTACAACCCTAGGGATTTGATTTGATTTGATTTATTAGATACTCAAAATTAGAAAACATATGAAAAAAAGACAATAGAGCACCATGGATTACACATTAAGCCGACGATATTCATGCTCATTTTCAATGGGGTCCTAATTAAAGCAATACATTTGCTTATACCATTGTAACATGCAGATGCACAGTAGTCAAAGAGGCATGTAATTAAATCTGAGCAAAATAATTTTACGGATTCTAATATCAAAGCCTCTAGCTTGTCTAAATAGAATAATGGTTCTAGTAATGAGCTCACATGAAATATTTTGACCTATTTCAAGACCTAAATACTTGATAGAAGTGGACCCATTAAGTGTAGGCCTATGTCCATGTGATAATTTTCAAATCTGTGTTGCGAAGCTTTCGTTTAGTTTCGAAAAGTATGCATTCTGTCTTTTCTATGTTTGATGAAAGCTTGTTATCAGTGAGCCATTGTCGACAAGAATCTAAAACTTTTCCAGATTGGATGAAATAAAGATTAGGGAGTAATTTTGCCCTACCTGACGTGGAAATGTACGGTACTGATCCCAGCCTAGTGATCTAGAGATCGTGGGTTCGTCCACCCGAGAACAGCTTGCCGCGATTTTTTTTTTCGCAATTGTTTTCACACGTACTGAGTATTCAGTACATTTCTACGTCAGGTAGGACAAAATTATACCTATAGGCCTACTTGATTCTCCTGACGCAAATCCAGTTATTGTCTATTCCATCACGACAGTAACAATTACTATAAATGATATGATTCTGAGTCGGCTATCGATTCCGATTGTAAGCTAATACTTTATGCTGATGGTAGCGCTATATTTTTTTCTCACAATTCAACATTGCTACACTATACATGGACACATACATACATACATACATACATATTATAACTTTAAGATAGTATCCTTTTTTCTACTTTCTTTTACCAATTTCTTTATTTATGAAAATTTCACATTTTATTCTTATTACTACAGTGTATTTAAAAGGAAATGTTTGTACATGATGTGATGTAAAAACAATATTACCTTCATTATGAAAAGAAAATTGATTTGATCGGGATCGATTTAAACTTTCAAAGTCATTCTGGTGACATGCGTCCCCGACCACCACCATCCGTCATAGTGTCATAATATTTATGTTCTAATTTCTTTTAGAATATATTTATTATAAGACAGATAAAATAGTTTGTGAGTATCATTACGTGCGGACTTAATGTGGATCAAATAATAATCGAAACCATCGATCTCACAGAGGTGAGTTTCAGGCAGAAATGTAAAAAAAAAATGTCCGATAATAAATTTTTAACATGATTTTTACTTCTCTGGCACAACTTTAAGAGACGTTTACATTGCAGTGATCGTAGTTTAATAGCCAACATCAATATTACATTTTTCCGGCTTTTGTTTCTTTTTACATATCGCACGTACTTTACCAATATTACCAGCTTAATGAATGTCTCATTATTCAATATTGTAAGTTTTACGCAGTCAGGTTTACCCAACGTAATCACGTAATTAAAGTGATGAATTGCAATTTAATAGACCTATATAAAACTAGTTGATTATTATTTTCTTTTTATTAAAAATCGACTGTCAACAGTTGTTTTTCACAGATCTTGGCGTGTTGCGAAGCAATAGGTTCCTTGCTAAAGCGATGATGAAACTCAAGCCCGTAGGGTTATTCGTAAGTTTTGATTGTTTATAGTACTATTTTTAATAGTTTCTTAACATTTGTCTTCTAGGCCTACGATATCCTAGCAAGCACAACGCGTTATTAGGGAGGTTTCGCATACGTCATCATCAATATCGTCATAGTGCCTAAAACATTCTTGACAACATGATACTTGGTTCATGCAAAAGGCCTAAACCGCCTACAGTGGCTGATATGCTACTGTTAGGGGAAGGGTTGCGAAATCTCACCAACCACAACGTACGTTGTGGTTAGACTAGGTAGGGCCTATAAAAGGGAGGTTTCGCAAGCTTACGAAAATACTGCTACGTCATCAAATTTTTAAGCAATTTCCATCCCCATAACATATAATCTTTTAAAAGTAGGCTATCCTTGCATTTTTATATCAGCGATCATATTCAGTATGTATTATTCATTAAGCTGTTATTATTATTTGTATTGTAAAGAATGTTTTAGGTAAAAATGACGATAATGTATTCGTTATCGTTTTCGTAAACTTGCGAAATCTCTCTGTTGTCAGAAAATGAAATGAATTGTATTTTTTATTCTAAAAAAACCTCAAAAAACACGTTTTTGTACGCCAAAGTAACGTGAAAATAAAAATTGTATCGTAAAATTAACGTAAAATTGTTAGAAGCAAGGATATTTATATTATACAAATAAAAGAAACAATAGCTAAAATGGATTGATGGAGTGGATTTAAATAGCTTGGTGGTTAAAATGCTTGCCTTCCAATCCCAGGGTCCTGGGTTCAATTCCTGTCTAGTGTTGCAGGATTTTTGGTCCTCGCGAAGCGCTGACCCAGAGCCTCCTGGGGCGGATGCAGGATTTGGAGGTAGGGGGTGCGTGCAAAAATGTAAGGAAATAGTACCTGTAGATGGCCGGAAATGACAATTTGATATAGTAAAATTCATCATCACATCACCATTATAGTCAAAATTATCAGCGATAATCGACAACCACAGAGATCTAATTAGTATGTGTAATGTACACAAGTCAATACATGAAAAACATTCTCTTTCATGTATTGACTTAATCTACTTCAAAGCCGTGAGTCCACAATCACCTCAGCCCCACCATGGTTGGGGCCGAGGTAAGAAAATGTGAGGAAATAATAATAATAATAAAAACACTTTTATACAGTAAAGTTTACCATTATCACACTATTCAGTCTAGATGAAGGGCTAGCAAGTTACTCATGATCTTTAATCAGGGGTTTTCGGCAACAATATCTAATTAAAACGAGTGATGTACCACAGAAAATAAAACTAAAGAAACACTTATTTAAATATATTTAATATACTCGACGTACCTCAAAGCCGTGTGACCACATTCACCTCAACCCCATGGTTGGGGCTGAGGTGAGAACATTTTAGGAAATAGTACCGTACTTCAAGATGGCCGGAAATGACACTTTTAAATAGTAAAATTCATCATCATCACATCACCGTTATAATATAGTCAAAATGAAGTACCAACAAATTCTCATGATCTTTTATCAGCTTTTTTTTTTTTTGGCAACCATATAGATCCCTCGTCGGGGAGAGCTCTAANNAACACCCCCCCCCCCCACCCCGTCGGAGAGATAAACCACAATTCGTCGGGGAGAAAAAAAAATATACGTATTTTATAGATATTAGAAAACTCTAAAATCTATTAAATAAGCCTTTGAAACCCTTAAATTGTCAAAATTTCAGGGGGCTTTTCCCCCAAGACCACTTTCGAGGCATTTAAAGCGACGTTCGACCACGCCCACTTTGTTCTCGTCGAGGAAATTTTCCCCCTCGCGATTCGAACTCACGACCTTCGGTTAAGGATGTGTTCTAAAGAATCTAAAGTCGTAAGTTCGAAACGCGTCCTGGTATTCATTTTTTTCCCCCAATTTTAAGATTTTTTCCCCTCAATTTTAAGTATTTCAAATTTAAGAACTCTACCTGAGCATATTTTAGAGGCAACTGAAATAAATGGACAAACACTACAAAATTTAAGGATTACACATCATAAGCGCAAGACCTCCCACTTGGATCTGTGGCGTCTTGAGAGTTTCCAAATAAAGATTGGAAGAACCCTAGTGGAAATGCTGAAAAGCTGAAAAGCTAAAAAATTACCCCCCGTTGGCGCCGCCACTGAGTGTAGTAATAGGATTACCAAATTTTTGAATATTTAAAATCTGGGGAAAAAGGTGTAAAATTGGGCAGTTACTCCCCTTCTCCCCCAGCTTTGAAATAGGCCTATTAAAAAATCTGTATCTCATTCACCGTTTTCCAGTTTTTCGTCAAAAAACTTTTTTTCTGTCTTAGAAAAATCAGTTCTAAAACATATCAATTTTTTTTTTCTCTGGAGCCTGACTTTAAGAGTGCCAATAAATATACCTCATAAATATTAATTAGGCATCAATATTTCATTGGTCAATTTTACTTGATACCTCTGTATTTCGCCTTCTTACTTTTGCTGTCGCGCGTTCACCAGGTAAGAAGTCTCTTACAATTACATAGTATGTAGAAGTAGAAGTCAATCTACATTGTTAGAAAATATCTATTTACTAAGGTATAGTAAAACAAGTACAACCGAGTTATATTTAATTGAAGTTAGTAAACTCTACTTCTCACAGGTGTGGTAGGACGATATCAGGACTCCCCTAGCCTAGGCCAAGTAGGCTGGCCATGGTCGTACCATATAAGGAAGACACCGTACTCCTGAGTGGTGGTCTGTTATGCATACCAGTTCCTTAGTGGTGTTGAATAAGAGTTGGGCTATGAATGGTGGTTGCCGTACTCGCGCGAATAAGCGCCCCTTCCTAATTTGAATAAGAGCGCCTCGTTGTGTATTCATGTTTTTTAAAACAATATTTTGTGATTGATATTTTTTAGCAAACGATAATTTAAATCTGAAATTTGGGGTGGTTTTGGGGTTTGGTCTCAAATTAAAAAATCGCTAAATAGAGACCACAGGCTTGAAGTGTTCTCAAAGCAGCATAATTGGAGGGTAACCGCACCTGAAACATCTAAATGAAGACTAAAGATAAAAGTGGTCTCCAAAAGACAACATGAGACAACCATTTATTTATTTCAAAGAAATCAATTGCTTTTAATTTTTTTTTTTTTTTTTTTTTTTTTTACCAACTTGAAGCTGTTTAACACGTTGGCTGCCAGTGACAAGTATACTCGCTCACAGAGTGTTGCTGAGGGCGCTAGGGACAAGGTATACTCCTCAAAATCGGGGTAACATTCTAGCGTTTGTAACTTCTTTGTTATACTTTGTAGAACCACAGATTAGTCGGCTGATAGTTCAGGGAAGATACACCTAGACGATAACGTACATATGACATATGTATGTTTGTTATGTTATGTTGCCGGTAGTACACTCGAGTGGCACAAGTGGGGGGGGGGGCGCCCTTTGAACATATACCAACCCATGCAAAAAGCGGACGAGATAACTCGCACTTGGCATAGTCAATAAAACGTTCTATCATAGTGCCGTCGACGAGTATACTCGCCCCCTAATATTTTCCCGCCAATTTATTAGACACATCATTTTGATGATGTATGACTAGATAAAATTTCAAAAAAGCATGTTTGTACACATAAACTTGTTTTGGCATACTGGAAGGAACCTTAAAAAAAAGGTCTGGCAGTCAACTGCCTAAAATACACTAAAAAAAATTTGAACAGCATACTGTAAAGTAAACATAACATTTATGCTTTATTTGACTAAAGTTAGGTTTAGGTATGTAGGTGTCCATCCTTTATAAAGAAATATGTTATTTCGTTTGTGTTTGTGCTTGGCCTTTCCTTATTCCTAATCTTAAAAAAGCAATTATCTAATGAGTTTGAAAGTTCCTCATGACCACGATAAAGTTGGGGATAGAAGCCCCGTAGCTAGACTCTGGGGCCCAGGGCTATTAGGGGCCCAATCATAAATAGACCTAAAAATAATAATAAGAATGGGTAAATAGTTAAATATAAGGAATTATACTGAAAAATTAGAATATTTTCCAACTTAATTTTGAAGAAAAACGGGCAGTGGGACCCTAAAAAATATTCAGTTTTTAAAGGAGTAATTTTTGATTACTGTGTTCAATGGTGTATTCAAGGCCGGGACCCCATCCTGCCCAACCCCCCTATTTTTTCAAAATTATAAAAAATGGGGTAACAGGAAATTATATGCATTATAAGTCTGAGAACCATTTCCGGCCATCTGGTGCTATAATCATAAATTTTCTTACCTTAGCCCCAACGATGGAGGGGATGAGGTAGTCTTCCTTCTCCATATTCTGTGAAAATCCCTCCCTGGCCCCTCTATTCTAATTCCTTGATCTGCCACTGCAATTGTTTATTCGTACTTGCCACCATTTAAAAAAAAAAATTAGTTTAGAACAGCTGCTGAGACCAAATATGCCCCTCTTAAAATAGTTACAAATCGAATTATCAATTATGCTATTTCTAACCTAGGCCTTTAGAAGTAGGGGGTACAAAAAGCACTTCTTAAAATGAATTTTCTGAAAACTAGGGAATTCCATATCACACCAAAGGGCCCGGTAATTAATCTTGCACTTGAGTCCTTTTGCACCTAGCTACACCACTGCTTCCCCCCACTCCCCTTTTGGGTACGAGGCTGGATATCCACTTCATTTCACATCAAGGCGAATACCAATAGGGAAACACTCAGATGACACTCTTCTAACAAAGCTTTGGATGATGCCATTGTGTTCCATCCTGACCAGATTTCCCCAATATTTTCTCCCAATAACTGTTTTGTTACTAAACAAAATAATTTTTGTTTTTCGTTTTACTGTAATTAATTATGTATCTTTGATTTTAGCAGGGGGGGGGGGGACACCAAACATTTAGCAGGGGACTTTCCCCTCCCCTTTGACTACGGGGCCAGGGTATAGTGCAGCAAATGAAAGGCTAAAGAAGAAAATCAGAAACATAAGACTGTATCAAATTAGGAATAAGCAGCTGATTCAACAGCATTTTTTGGCAATAGGTGCCAACAGATTGTTGTAAAAAAATTACTGAATATATCATGACAGCCTGTAGCCTAAAACTAAAACTTTTTTTTAAAAAACTAGCTTTTTAGAAGATAATACACATAAGAAATAAGATTTCTCTGGGCATGGGGTCCAGGGGCAAAGCTCTGGTGGGGTCGGTGTGGTCAGTGAAACGAAAGTCAGAGGATTTTTGTGTTCTATGGGTCTAAATAATGCTATAAAAGCAGTTATGTTTGAAAAAGCTCTGCAGCAAATGCTCTCTCTGTTCTCCCCACCACTGGTTGTTGGCCCACAAACACGATTACCTTTAAAGCTAGTTTGTAAAGGTCCGGCAAACATTTTGAACGGTATTCAAGGGGGCAGGGTTTACCATAGCTGAAAGGTCCATTTTAAAATTTCATCTCGTCTCATACCTTAGAAAATATATATAAGGGGTGGACTTAGCATTTGTATGATTTGTTTGTGGTCACCTTTATGTTAATTTTTTTTATATATTTATCATTTCAGGTTTGCCTTTTATTAAATCTTTCTGTTTTACACTTAATGACAATTGGTAAGTACACTATATAGTAGGCACCATAAAAGGAATTTATTAAAGATGTACTGTCCCTTGAAAATGACCAAAATCATAAAAAATTATTTTTAAATTAACTTGCTCATTTTGCAGTAACATACAAATTATTAACTTGAGCATAGAAATTATTAAATAAAAAAAAAGTGTTCCTATAATAAGTGTTCCTATCATTTTTTCGCTGTAAAATGATTGTTTTTATGGATAAGCATTTTTTAAATACACTAATTTCTATGTTCAAGTTGATAATTTTTATGTTACTTCAAAATGGGCAAGTAAATTTCTAAAATGATTTTTATGATTTGTTTTTGTTTTTTGCAGGGGACAGTACATATGTAAACCAATGTAAAATATACATAAATTGTTTATATGTTTTTTTATAGGAAATCTTGCTACACAAGCCTAATTATCTTACAACATTTATCCCTTTTATCTTAATAGTGCAAGGGTGTTGGGGAGGTTATATCGCCAGCACATTTTAAAGCCCCATTCCCGGCAAACTTTCACTAAAAACTGACTTTTTTTAGAAAATATTCATTTGCATTACTCCAATTATTATAAACCATGGAAAAATATTGGTATGAATTTTAGTTTTACGCAAAAGAATAAAAAAAATGAGAAATACAGACTATTTCTCATAAAATATTACCATTTTCTGGACGAATTCATCGTTACTAGGCAAAGTCAGAGGTTGTAGATCGCATCCACTGGAATACTCTCGCTTTTATGTATACTTTTATACAGTCAATAAAGTGCGCCCTCTCTAATGAGATTAGTCTTTGTACTTCGTATCTCGCACGATGTGGTCGTTCAATTAAGGCTGAGATATGTTTGTTTAAGTGTCAAAATCTCTTTCAGAATCAGTTTTTAACAAATTTGAAATAATTCCTATGAAATATTATATTTCACAAGTGTCAATACTAGCAACGGAAAATATCATGTCGGCCGTTTTTATGTGTGATAACAGAACCTAAATCGAGGTAAGGCTAGGCCTAGCGGTGGATAGGCTAATGTTTTCGGCGCCTACGATATTTCTTCTCACGACCTATTGCAAAATCAAAATGAAAAATTCATCCGCATTTATTTTTTGTGTGGAACACAAAAAATCAAATTTCAGTCTTATTTTACATTTTTTTCATTCTTAGGAATGTCTAAATTCAGTTAAACTAGCAATTCCGTATTATATATTTTTTTTGCTTTGAAGTTTTCGAATAGGGGGGGGGGGGGGACGCAAGCTTTTTGTGGGGGGGGGGCGTGCGCCCCCCACGCCTCCCCTTGGATACGCCACTGGGCTACTGTGCCTACCTGTTACCGAGTGTATTTCCATGGGACAGTATGAGTATATTTGTGATTTATGAGAGTAAATGGTGTAATTATTATGTGGCAGTGGGGAAACGTGTATGGGCTGTCTCGGCAAGAATTCCCAGCCGCAACAGGGGCAGATCCAGTAGGGGGAACGGGGGACGTGCCTTTCCTCCTCTCCCGTTTTGGCACTAAATTTTCAAATTTCAAGGCATATATTGAAATTAGCGCTCTCACTTATCTATTCTGGATATGTTGTGCCCCCTGTTTGGAAAATTCTGGATCCGCCCCTGCCCAAGTTGAAGGGGCCCCCTGGGGGGGTCCTTTTACTTTATGCACAACACTCTTCTAACTTGACTTAACGGTCCAGTAGAAGACACCAAAAATTAGCAAATTAAAACAATGCAATTTCTGTTTTTTTTTTTTTAACTCATAAAATGTCCTTATGTGGAATCACACGACAACACTTATTTCACACAAAATTGATTTCAAAACTATTTCACAGTCGGGCTCCACTATAAACTGAAATAATGAAAAATGGACTACCAAATTTACTCAGAAAATACAAATCGAGTTAGGCCTATATAGTAGTAATATATAAAACGCTACCGTATTGATGATATTCTGCTGTAAAGGGGCCCCTCAGCCTCAGCCACTTTTGTGACTCTTAAGTAATCAATTATTAAAATGCATGAGGCCACTAACTTTTTTTTCGCTCCAGGCGCCATTAATCATTGTTACACCACTGATTATCGGTGGAGAGAAATACGGTACTATATATCCCCATCATCCCAACTTTTTGATGCCTTGTTGTATTTTAAAATATATCTTTTCATCAGTTTTAGCTGCAGAGAAGGAGCTGCAATATGGAAATAGCGTTTATTACTTCGGCACTGGTAATGCAACCAGAAAAGACATTACTGGGATCTGTGCTGAAAAGAATTCCTTGGCAGTTTACATCCTAACAGAAGATGAGAGTGAATTTGTTACTGGTAACATGTATGGCGATACAATAGTGGATCTCTATTTAAATGTGAATGGTATTTGGTGGTGGAAGGGAATACAAATCAGACAGTCTAATACCATTAGCAGTAAGTGACATTTAGGCATGGCGAGTAGAGCGGTTAACGCAGGGGAACCGTGACATACAGCCATTATCGGCGCTGGTTTGAACGGCAGGCTCGCTTATGGTTCCGGTGGTGGAACAAGTCTTCTCAGATAAGGACTCAAATCCGTAGGTCCAGTGTACACAATTGGCTCGTGTGCACTTTAAAGAACCCAGCACATCATTCGAGAAGAGTAGGGGGTTACCCCAGTGTACTGGTCCATCTCTAGTCCCCTGTCCGGCCACAGAAGGAGCGCTTACGACGTGGCTCATGTCAGGTATCCATCCTATCTGCGAATCCTTCTACCACACTACGTAAGCTAGATCATACATACTAGCTACGTAGTGACTCGATAAGAAGAAGGCCGGGCACACACTACAGTGATCGTCGACACTGTGTGTGCTGTGCTGAAGCCTTTGGCCGTGGATATTGTTCCGACAAACTTGAATGAGTTGATTGATGGAGGTGGCCTTTGGCCCTAACCTTTAAACTTCAGTCTTGCTATCTTATACACTACAGCATATCGTAAAAATATCCATAGTGTTTCTTGTACCCATTGTACATTGATGCAAAACGTCACTATACGTATCCTCATCACCAATGCCATCACAGTTTTCATTTACATTTTTATCGTTATCATTATCTTTATTATTTTTTCATGGTTCAGTGCACACAAGGGTTGCCAGCCAAGATAGTCTATGGGCTTCAATGCCAAACACACACCACCTCAGCCTATTAATATATAGTAATATAATATAATACTAATGATAATAACAATAATAAAAATATTGTAATAATAGTAGCAATAAGAATGATGATGACCACAGCCGCAATCAATGATGGTGATGGCGATGACGACGACTACTTTCACCATAATGGTATTTTTCGCAAGGCTGTATTTGCAAGGATACAAAAATTATTATAAGCCAGTATGTAAACTGGTACTGTAAAAATAGGTGTTTTCTTATTGTTAATTACTCCTTTTGGCCAAATGTCAACCCTGGCCTACACGTCTTCTGCGGTGACCGCTAACATTGCCTTTGTTCTTGGGAAAGACACTTAAAGAAATGGTGTCGTTTGTTTCTGTTCTGTTTTAAGATAAAAATACTATCAATTGTATCTTATGGCATGAATGTAAGCACTCTTGGAAATTGAAGTTTGTTGTGAAATAGATATTGTTTCCTCCAGAGTGGGCCGAAGGACATCCAATAGACGGTAACCGATGTGCAAAAATTATTAATAGTGGAGAATGGGTGACTGTGTCTTGTAACGAAACAGCCAGTTGGGCCTGCAGAAACAGTAAGTCCTTGTATACACTACTTGTTTGGCTGAATTAGAGGGTTAGTACACAAAAAAATTCTTATAAGCTGTTTAAAGGGGAACTCCAGGTTTGAAATTTCTCCCCCCATATCGTTTATTTATTATATTATGATTAGTTATGAAATAAATTGGGATAAAATAGTTAAACATTTTAGGAAGAAAACAAAGAAGTAAATTTAACATAGTAGTTATATCGAAATGAGGCAAAACATGTTTTTCAGTAGCTTGGTAATTTTACAAGAGAACTCATTTATGTTCATGATTCCATCCTGCCTGATGTTCTTTGCTTCACGATAATTGAATGTGTGCTGAGCGAGCGAGCAGCAACAGTCAAATTCTTATCTTAAAATCAGTGGGGATTGAGGGGGGGTTTGCGAACGTTTCAGTTGGTAGTATACTAACTATAAGCAGGCCATATTTCCTATTCTAGGGCATAGCCTCGCCCATTACAACTCCTACAAATTCTCCTGTCCTCTAGCTAGGCTGAATACCCAGCTATGCCGAATAGCCAGATAGGCCAAGGCTAAATTAGGCCCTACGTGTGTGTTGCTGATAATAACCGTGCATTCAAATCTTGGCCTCCGTCTTATCAGCAAGGTGCAAACTGACTGTTCTATATATATATATATATTTTAATAGCAATTTTAAACCCAGAGCCCTCTTTAACTGTATAAGTAAATAACATTGTACAGACATGTTATATTTACAGTACTATTTGTTTTAGGGTAATTTATTAATTAGACTTTAACACTTCATTATTTATCAGGACGTTGTCCCGATGACTGGACACTTGAGGGCAACATTTGCAGACATTACTTTCCCCACAATGGCAGTTGGAATGAGGTCAACAAACTTTGTCAAAGTTTTGGTGCCACCTTACCAATCTTTAAGAGTCAAGAGGAAAAGGAAAGTCTGCTAGAATCTATTTCATCGACCACATACATAGGTTACTCTGATGAGGGCCATGAAGGTCTCTTTACTGAAATCACCTGTGATGGAGAGGTAGAAGCACCGTACTTGGCAGGTGGGTGATGCAACTGGCTGATGCAACTGGGTTCTATTCTTTTTATGATCATACACATGCCAACTTCGCTGGCATCCGATGCGCGAGTATATATATAATACCCTATATGTAAAAATCACAAAATAGAGCGCCCTTTATGTTATTTATAAAAAATTATGATAGAACTGCTACTGATTATGGTCGTCAGTCGGTAAAACTTCATTAAAATAAATTTATATGGCCTGTATTCACATTTCAATGATGAATTCAATAATTTTTATGAATATTAGGGTATAATCCGCCTATACATTTTATATTTTATAACATTTTTATGATGTGTGAGAATACAACGTAGGCGTGAGATGTAAAAAGTGGATGCTCATGCACATTATGTGTGGGAGCTGGCAGGTATGATCATACAAACAAGTAGGGCTATGTTCTAATAGCTATTTTTGCTGAGGTTTCATTTTGGATTTTGCATTGGATGTGGTAGATTCGATGGTGGTACACATCTAGATACTCTAGAGTATGGACTAATTTTGATGTAAAACCCACGATAACCCGTTAAGTCAGAAGGCTTGCATCCTGTGAGGGAATTTTTGATTTAACACCGGAGGCCTCATCCAGATTTTGATGATTCCAGTGTGTTCAAACCTTCATGAACTGCTGCTCCACGTTATTCTCAGTTTTTCTTTTTATAGATGATTGGTGTCGGGCCGTGAAAAACAAGGTGTTCTAGCCAAGGATGGTTGGTGGGCCGCACACATAGGGTTTTTAATTCATTTTCGTGGGCCGCAAAAATAATCACTGTCAGGCCGCACACCCACCTGTGGTTTAAGGGTACCTGAGCATGCAATTATGTTCAAGCACATGTTTAAAAAAAAATGTTCTTGTTCACGTTGATCAAGTATCCTTTTATGCACCACTTAAAAATTTATATCCCAACAATTCAAAGTCACATGTAGAGTATCAGTGTGGTAACCGTTTCATGTTGCATCAATAATGCAGTTGCAACGCGGTTCTTTATCTGGCTAATTCAATAATCAACCAATGATAAGAGAACCGTTTCTTTCTTGATATTCAGTAGAAACACACCCATAGGCTCTGATCTTCTAACACATTTATCTCAGTTTCTCATTGTTGTAAATTTGATTGCATCACATACTTTTTCCGAAGAGTGTACTGCACCCTTTAACTCATTCTCAGAGCACAAATGGCGTAAACATTTTATTTAAAAGAAAAAAAATCACACTCAAGTAGTTAAAAATCACCTAAAATTCCCTTATTTTGCAAGTTAGAACCCCTTACTTAATCATCGAGCCCCCCACCTGCCCCTCTATTTCAAGACTCCTAGCTACGGCACTGCACACAGCGGCTGTATCATCAGTGTAACCTTTCAACTTTGTTACATACAACATTATGGGATGTTTCCGTGGAAATAGTCTTGTGGGCCGCCATATAGGACTAGACTAGGGGAGACGAGTCTTGGTGGAGTACAAATGTGGTCCCAAGCTGCATCTGGTGTTCACACATTTGATGAATAAACCCTTTTATATTCAGCTTGAATTGGTGTCTTGACTCATTGTATCACTGATCGAACCATCAAACTGATAGAACCATCGAACATTGTAGTGTTACACCAGTATAGCCGACTGAGCTAAACTTGTTATAGTAATCCTTCCTTCCATTTTTTTTTATTGAGTTACAGATGAATGGTATAGTGGTCAACCTAATAACAATGGAAATGGTGAACAGTGTACAGCAATTTACAGTCAGTATGATGGAATCAATGATATTCCATGTGACGTGACATTGAGCACTATTGCTGTTTGTCAAATAGGTAGGTTCTGCCTTTGGATTGATTTGTTTGGTTTCTATCACTGTATTGTCATTAACACCATTATTTGCATGGTCATATCTAGGGGATGTGTGCAACACCCAAGGGAGATGTGTATAAGAGACAGGAGGAAAAGGAACGTCTGCGAGAATCTAAGGGTAATGTTTCTATCCTATGTGCTTGTTTTTTTGTTTAAATGCTCAGTAATAAAATTACCTGGCAAATGCCCCCTTTGCCCTCCCCTAGTGCCGCTACTGAGCATATGACAATCAGGATTACTATTTTAAAACTATAAGCCTAGGCATAATTCTAGGGTTCATTGCTAATATTTATTCACATATATTAATTCAAATATATTTATTCAAATTTCAGCCATGACAAACAAGTGTAAAACAATCCAATCAGAAAGAGAAACCCAACAGCCCTCACAAATATCATTACAAAATTCTATTAAGTTTACCACAAGAAAAAGTTATATTCTACAATTACTACATCTACAATAAAGTGATGGACTACATATTTAATAATTTAAAATTATTTATAAAGTGTATACAGGTCTCTAATTAAAGACACCTGCAATTAAGAACCAACTCCAAATATAGACCACTTTTTTTGTAGTCCCAGTTTTGCAGATGTCTTTTATCTTTATTATTCTAATTAGAGATAAAAGCTACTAAAGACCGTGGAAACATTGGTCCCAAAAGTTTAATTGGAGGGAGACCTATATTTTAAAAATGTAGAAAGTTGAATTTTATAAGTATGTTCAGAAATATAAAAATTATGAAATATCACTAACCCCATGCATTTTAGTTGATACAATTGTAACCCTCTTGGCTAAAATGTAAGGCTGTGTTATAATTTTGTTAATTTAAGCTTGAAAAAAAACCAAAAAACGGATTTCAAGCAAAACAAGTAATCCGTAAAAATCTTTTTTAGGTTGTGTCTCAGTTAATTACACAAAATACTGTAAAACCTCAAATAGAAGCCCTGGGTTTTATTTGTAGGACCTTTGGATAGGCTTCTTTTTGAGATTGGCTTTTTTTTCAATATTTTTCAAAGTAAAGGGGGAATTTACTACTATAGGACTACTGAAAACATTTATTTTTTAAAACACGTTATATTTTCATTGCGGATTTTTTGGGCTCAGTGCAGACTCTAAATGTATGCATTTTCTTTTAGTTTTAAGGCGTATGCGGATTTTATAAGTCCGCAATGACGATATAACGTGTTTTAAACTAATGTAAAACAAATTGTGTTTTTATTTGTGTATTGTGTTTCTTTGAAATTCATGAACAGTGCATACTATCTCGAAAAGAAACCCATACCATCTTGAAAAGTTAGCCTATATAGGCTTTTTTTCGAGACAGGCCTTTTTTGAGATCACTTTTGTAAACTAAAGAGAGTTTTCGTTTTGAGATGGGCTCCTTCTCGAGATTAAGACCACAGGACTTCTATTCAAGGTTGTTTTGCGTTAGTATTTCATGTACCATGACCATGAACCTAATACTCCATCTGTGTTCCTGGGATCATGTACCAATGAAATATTATCTTAAAATATCACTTTTTCTCCCTTGCATAGAAGCCCAATGGGTTTAATCTCGAGAAGAAGCCCATCTCAAATTGAAGCCCCCTCTTTAGTTTGCAAAAGTAGCCTCGAAAGGAAGCCCATCTTAAAAAGAAGCCGGGGATTTTTTAAAGTTAGCATGGGCTTCTTTTCGAGATAGTACAGTGACTGTGCATGAATTTCAAATAAAACAAATTAAAAACATGTTTGGTTTATATAGTAGCTTTTGGTGACTTAATGCAGGGTAATATATTCTTTGATACTGACTGATGTTACAGTGGCCCTATTTTATTGTTTTATAGTAGTCCGTAAATTTATAGCATTCATTTTGAAAAGAAGCTCCCCTCTTTACTTTTTCAAAAATAGCCTCGAAAAGAAGGCCATCTCGAAAAGAAGCACGTCCAAAGGTCGCAAAAAAAAAAAGCAGAAGCCCAAGGCTTCTATTCAAGGTTTTAACGGTGTGCCCATATTTTGGTGTAATATGACATCATCATAATTTATGCGCATAATCATAATTTATGCGCACATCACACAAATTTGTCACATAAAATTTGATGATGAGGATAGAGCATTGGTATCAAATAAAATTGATTTGATCTTGAGCACGTTAAATAAAGAAAAATGTTTCATTACAGATGCCTGTCCTCCTGCTTTCATGTACTATGGGAACTCGTGTTACTACCTTCATCACTATGAAAAGGCAGGGTACCGTGACGCATTACAGATTTGTGAAAGCATCCACTCCAGCGTCTTAGTCCTAGATTCGGCAGAAGAGTTGGATCTTTTACATGTTGGCATGCTTTGGAACACATGGACTGGTTATGATGACCGAAATATAGGTGGTTTCTTTGAGATTCCTGTGGCATACACTAGATGGATTGATTTTCAAGGTACGGTAAACTTGACTATGACCTACCCTCTACCATTTACAGTGAAAAGTTTTAATAGCACACCCTCTCTTAAATGAGATGTTTAAATACATTAGTCCTGCTTGTGCAATATGGTCCTTGTGCACATTAAGCTGGCCAATATAGCGATTCCATAAAGAATGCAATGTGACGATGTTCTCAACGGGTAATATTTAATGACGATCTGTCCAGACTGATACTGCCAATCAGCAGACAGCGTCGCATCGTTTAGCGCTCGCAGGGAGCGGAGTTGAATTCTTTGTGTAACGGCTGTACAATGTAGTGACGTGCTCAGGTATATAAAGAACGCAGTACACTCTTCGGAAGAGAGTACAGTAGGGATTGTCTCCCGGTGTACTGTCCAATTTACTACCAGAAGGACCCCACTGGAAATAAGCCTTCAGACACTTGTTGTGTATACTTCTACCCTTTTAAGTCCCATTAGCATTCACTGTGTGTGTGTGTTATGGATGGGTATAGAATAATGGACAAATTTGTTAAAAAATTTTTCACTATTTAATAACCCTTCACTGAAGAAAGTACTTACATAATGATTTCTTATATTGTTTCATCATGTGCAGCAATGTTATCAACGTTGTTTAATGTTCCTCCTGAGGGACAACCCAATTCAGGAGACTGTACAGTGCTGAAAGAAGATCGCTGGAAAACAGTGCATTGTGATGAGCCAAAATGGATAATTTGCGAAAGGGGTATGTGTTACCTTTACACAATTAATGAAATTAACAAAATGATTGACATAAAATTAGTTTGGTGTTTGATGTAAAGTATTGCCATTCTAGGCCTAAATTCATTGCCAAATATTGATTATGGGTTATTTTTATTCAGCCTAATGAATACCCTTTGAAAAACAAATAATGAGACAGGCTTAATTGCTAGCACTGTGATTTAATATGTTAATTTTGGTGACAGGAGAAAAAAAAAACGTGTTTGTACCCACCCCTTCTATATAATTTTCGGCATTAAAAAGCAAGCAAACAATTTATTTTTTATGGCCTGATAATGGATGCACATACATTATTATCATTATGTATATGATTATCATAATCAACATCATCATGATAATCATATGTAGAAGCTGCCTCCTTGCAGCCCTGGATAACACTAATTCTACCACCAACACATCAAGTCATACTGTAATTTTATGAAACATGGTATACAATTATGTGGATGATATGCATCCACTATTAGCTCATCCTTAACAGGTAGATAAAGAGTACCCTCTGGGATAAGAACTGTACTTTATCGTCTTTCGTTTGTTCCAGAATGCATATTGAATTATAATATGATTGGTTGACATTTTAATAGAATATAATGAACATGGTTATAGGACAAAAAAACTAAGGGGCAGAGTAAGAATAGAAATAATTAACAGATAAATTAATTGGGAACTGTAATTATAATGAGGCTAATATCAGTGTGGGATCACAGTTCTCAGTCGGCAATAACAATAATGGAAATAAACAATGACATAGAATAAAGGAGCCGCTTAGATTAAATGCCCTTCAACATGATAAATAGCAAATAAGCAAAAATATGTTAACAAACAGGCAAGTTCTATAACAAAGAGCCAGAAAGGCGGAAATAGAAACTCATCGTCTTTTTCATTGTGTTAT